GTAGTGACGTGTATATATATATATATATATATATATATATGTGTGTGTTTTCATTTTCCTTACATTTGTTTATTTTTTGGTTAATAGATTAGTTTTGATTTGTGCAGGTCATGCGAGCTGCATCTTCCCTGGAAGGTGAGATAAACGGACTCTCGTGTACTTTCTAATATTAACAAAAAGTGTAAGGTGGGCACCTTATACTATATAATAAGTAAGGTGCACTTTTAAATTTTGTGAAATAATGTAGTTTTGGTGTTGAAACCTTACGAATGGCTTCAAAATTATATTTAACCCCAATTATAAAATTTAAAATTTAAAAAAATGATGTAGATTAAGCAGATCTATAAATATTTAAAAATCTTGAAAATAAATTATCTAAATAACTTAAAATTCCCCTTTTTTTCTTTTCTATATTATATACATCTAGATATTGAGATGATCAGGTAGAATACTCTAGAACAATATTGTCAGATTCGCTTCAGAGTCTTCTTCGGTTTGGTGACAAAAATGAAGTAATTCGGAGAAAGATTTCATACCTTTTTTTTTAATTTAATATAAATAAATTAGATATTTATTTATAAAATATACAAAAATAATGATGTTTTTTTAAAAAATAAAAAATACTTTTGTATAGGTATTTCTTTTTTGACTTTAGCAACCCAAAGCATCCACAGAAGCAGGCCGAAGCGGCCCGAGTCTGAACGAAACGGTAGTACCACGCTTCTTTTCGCTTCGATTCATGCTTAAAATCCGAATGCTTTGAAGAAAGTGATTTTGAGAACATTGCTCTAGAATTTTTGATGTGCACCTTACCGACTTATATAGTATAAGTTTGCAACCTGATGTAAATCTTTGTCATGAGAAAATGATTCTGCCTTAGATTTTGTTTTGTGACTGTTACATGGAGAACCTCACGTTTGTGGTTTGTATGCACTGCTGAATTATTATTTGCAGTACAAAAATAAGTAATGTTACAAGAGCAGGAAATGGGACAAGCACTAACAACCAGGGTTGCAGAACAAATAGAGGAGATGAACAAGGCTTCAAGATTTCCATTATTTGCTTCATCCTCACTTGTTTCTTTTGGCCATGGGAAGTGGCAAGATTTGCAGCCAGGCTCTCCTAGAGAGAGAATAGATAGGAAAGGTCGAGAGAAAAAGAGAGGGGAATCGAGCCTAAATTCTTTGATTTATTTCAATTAATTTTGTGTGAATGGAGAAAAGGGGTTGAAGTGTCAGCATTTCATTCCTTTAATTTTGGAAACTTTATTCATTGGTAGGCCGACCACATGAATTGGGATGGTCCTCCCCGCTCTTTTGGTTTATATAATGCTAAGTGTAATGCCTTTGTAATTTAATAGCTTTGTGGCGAGGGAGTGTGCCTATGTAATTTGATAGCTTTATGGCAAGGGAATGCTTAAAGGGTGCGGTTTGTATATGGCCGAGGCTCTAAACAATTAAAGTAAAGTGCATCTTTAGTGTCGAGAAATGTGGTTTTAATATTGGAAATGTTTGTGATAGTTTTAAAATATATTTTTATCTTTAATTATAAAATTTAAACCTACAAAGTTAGAGAAAGCTTGAAGACTTTGAAAATTGACGGTCTAAAAATACATTATAAAATAAACTATTATCAAAACTTAAAATCTATATTTTTTTCATGTCCATGCATCTTGATATCGAAATGATGAATTTGAAGATCAAAATCTCTTCTAATAAAATTTTTGAGGTGGGTTCTAATTTGATTGTTTGTTCGATATAAACTTTTTCCATGATTAAACGCTGGAGGCTTTTTCGTGAGCGCAAAAGTTTTTAGGACGGTGGGGGTTCGACTTCTACCGTTTGTAAAATTGTTCCCGAAAAGGTTCTACCCCAAAAGAAATAGGATAATGGTGCTTGCAAAGGCCTCTTTGCCGACGATGGTAAAGAAAAACTACTGTTGACTTGGATCCATGGAATTTTGTAGTACTAGATAGAAAAAAGTTTACGTAAATTTTTTAGTATAATTTTGACCTACCATAACTTTGCGTTAATACGTTAAAGTTTTGTTACACTCTTATTGAGATTACGTATGATGGATACTGTATCCGAAGTAAAGTGTGATTCTTGTGAGTTTTGAGTTAATACTTTGGTGCATTTATCAAGCATTTTAATATACGATTCCAAAGTTTTAAAATTTATATTAACCTGAGACGATCTTGCAATATTATGAGACTCTATATTGAATTTACCTTTTCTCCTAATGCGGACACAAAAATAACTCCAGATATTCCATTTCACAATTTTCAATATATACTTTATTCCTCAAAGATTCTTATTAACAAAAGGAAAAAGGTTTATATAGCGCCAAGGCTCTAAACAATCAAATTAGATCCCACCTCAAAAATTTTACTAGGAGAGGTTGTTTTGATGCCCAAATGTCCGCAAATTGATCATCTCGATATCAAGATGCATGAACATGAGAAAAAAATGGATTTCAAGTTTTGGAAATAGTGCATCTTGTAATGCATCTTGTAATTTATAGCTACTTGTATGAATTCGTTTCACACATACAATTGATAGAAGTCCGTTTTTTTCACACATTACAAGATGCACTATTTCCAAAACTGGAAATCCATTTTTTTTTTCTCATGTCCATGCATCTTGATGTCAAGATGATGAATTTGAGGACATTTAGGCGTAAAAACAACATCTTCGAGTGAAATTTTTTAGGAGGCTCTAATTTGAATGTTTAAAGCCTAGGCTCTATATAAAAATTTTCCATTAAATAATATATAACAAAAAAATACTATATAACATACATGTATATATAAAATAATATATAATTTTTTAATTATTGGGTTGGATCCAGATCGAATCCACCTATACCAAATCCGATATGAATTACTATTCGGATCCAAATTTTGGATCCGAATCCAACCCATAAGATCCAAATTGTGGATCCATACCTTGATCTGGATAGGATCTGAAATTCAGGTTTCGGATCCAAACGAGTAAATCCTCTGCCCTAACTACTCGATCCCCAAAAGAAAAATAAAGCTTTGATCATGGATATACCTTGAGAAAGTGGCTGTTGAAGTATTTTTAAGTTTCTGTATTCTTTGCACATTTCAACTTAAAATCCCCTCATCAATAAGATGTTAGACTAAAGAGCACTTTAAAACCCAATAAAACAATTATAATATAATGCTTTAAAACCTTCTAGTTGATCATTTTGACCTCTAGATGTATGAATATAAAAAAAGAATAATGATCCTATAAGACCCTCCCACACCCATGTGTGTAGGACCCTTACACAACCCAAAGGATCACCATTAAATTTGACACAGATCTCTAGAAAAGTCAAGTCCCATACCCATGTGATAACTTTTTTAGAGATCTGTGCCAAATCTAATGATGATCCTTTGAGGCTCTACACACATGGGAGTGGGAGGGTCTCATAGGATCATTACTCATAAAAAAGAAACTTAATTATTAAAAAAAGTGCATCTTGTGATGGAACATGTGGATTGTCATGATTTTTAGGTGTTTATAAATCTACTTGATCTGCATACCATTTTTGCAGCTTCAAGTTTTCATGATTATGAGTTAAAAATAGAGTTTCAGGCCATTGCAAGGGTTTTAGACAAGAACTACATCTTTCGACACAATTTAAAGGTGCACCTTTCATTGATTATTTAAGGCCGACACTTCATACAGACCCCACTGAAATAGTAAAAGGAAAACATTTGTCTAGTTAAAAAATAGATTTCAAGGTCTAGAAATAGTTTTATTATTATCATTATTATTTTTTTGTAATTTTTATTTTTAGGGGTGGGGGGACTTTTCTTTTGACTTTTTGGAAAGGTTTACAGGTATCAAAATGTGTACAAAATTCGAAGTGTGTTAACTAACAAAATTGTTACATCAAAACCCTTTTTATCTAGAGTATTGGCTTCTACATTATTCTCTCAAAAATAGTGATTAAATTGGATACCCATCCCCTGGTAATATCATGAACTTGATCAAAATAGTGGATCAATCTCCAAGGCATTAGTCGCTCCTATTTGCTCCACCTGATCACATTCAAAGAATCTTCTCAATGATAAACCCATTTTGCATACCTCATAAGAGAAGAATTCCTTGCACCAAGGCTTTAATCTCAGCCTCATTAAAGGAGCAAGTGCTCCCTGGGCCTCAATATGTGAGCTTAATAGGTCTACAAATAGTTTATGTGGTGTATCTAGTTTCTCCCGTGTATTTGAATGACTTGTATTCTAACTGTTTGCACAATGGAAAAATCTGAATTATTTTAGAGCTTTAAATTTCATAAGTACTAAATTGTTAGGTCAATTGTAATATTTCTGGTGTCCAGACTGCATCTTCAATGGGGGGTTTTGAGATGCTCTTAACTTTCATGATGTTCCCTGGGCTTTACATTTAGAAACTTTATATAATGAGACCATTTACTTTTTGATATAAAGAGGTCATAATCATCATTAACCATTAGATTTGAAGTCGGGTTGTCGAGGATGTGTCATTGTTTGAACACAAAGTCCAAAATAAGACTTCTTGAATGTTGTAATGCACTTCCGTTTAATGGATTTCACGTCCAAGGGCTATAAGTAATTGTGACTCCTTGTAATAAAAATAATGGGCTCATAGTATACAATTCATGAATAGAGGTATGAGAACTCGTAAGTCAACTTTTAATTCTTGTAGAGTTTGATAGAAGTTATTGATATGGTAATCATCAAAATTATCGAATGCGAGGATTAATCACCTTGATCAGTGGTTGGAGGTGATGAAGGAACAGGGAACCTATCAGGACATTACCTTTGTGTTTAGCAATTAGGACTGATAGAGGTTTAACCACCACAATCATGTTTGCATTTGCGATCCGAAAACCAAAAATTTAGCTTATTATGATGAGGACTGATGGAGGAAAGAGCTGGTTTTGTGTGTGTCTAGCCAATGTTTAAACTATCGGTGGTTCGACTCAGAAGCACCCCAGTCAAGAGCCTGCAGGTAGCCAATCGCATTTTTGTCCTCAAGTAGGAACCCTAATGCACCTAGAAGCCATATTACTTTTAAATATAAAACATTTGCTTTTACATAATTTGAAGGTCCTAAACCTTTTTCAAATTTTTAAATTTTTAAATTTTGTTTAAGTTTGGTAAGATGTTGCACCAACTCATGTAAGAAAAGTTCTATTTGAGGATACATTTAGCATCCCAAACTAAAATTTCGGACAGTCTTAGTTCTACCGAATAACAACATGGTTGAAAAACTGTGACCTTATGTCCTATTAGGATGTTGAGGATTCCTTTTTTTTCTCTATGTTTTTTGCTTCCACCCCTGTTTCTTTTGTCTATCTTATACCTCTCGTCAAAATATTAAATCTTCTCCAGCAGAGCAGGGAAAAAACAGAGAAAAAAAGAAAAAAAAGATGTAGTTCCATATCAGCTATTGATTGGCATTTGTGCTTTGGGCGGGGTGGCGACGAGACAAGGGGAAATTCTTTAGTCATGTCCATTGCGTATGTCCCCGGGGGTAACTTCCATTCGAAATGCAACAAAAGATTAGCCAGAGCAAGCTCAAAACTCGCGAGTCCAAATGAGATACCTGGGCATCCTCTACGACCTGCACCAAATGGTATATACTTGAAATCATTTCCCTTGTAATCCATTGGGCTATCAGTGAATCTCTCTGGTATAAACTCTTCTGAGCATCCCCAGTAATCTGGATCCGTTCCTATTGCCCATGCGTTAATGATAACCCTTGTTTCAGTTGCTATTTCATAGCCATTAACTGTACAGGTAGCTAATGTTTCTCGGGGATTAGTACTGGAGCTGTAGGGTAAAGTCGTAGAGTCTCCGTGAATGACTAATTTCAGGTAACAAACCTCCTGCATATCACTCCCATTTAGCATTTCTCTTGTACCAGCTATTCTCCTTACTTCATTTTGGGCTTTCTCCATGGCTTTTGGGTTCCTTATTAGCTCTGCCATTGCCCATGCCAGAGCATTTGTAGTTGAATCGGCACCAGCACCGAATATGTCCTGCAAGGAGCAAAATATGAAAGATCCAATAACAAGACCACCTATTCAAGAGGTTGGACACTTAAAAATATTAACATAAAAATAAAAATTCCAACTGTTATGTGTGTGAGACAGAGAGAGAGAGATATACCACGATTATTGCTTTGATGTTGTCCCTGGTTAAGTGAAATTCTAGTGTCTCATCCATTTGGAGCTCAAGCAACTCGTCAATGAGGTCCTCCTTTTGTTGCTCACCAGGGGAGCTCTTACAGTGAGGCTCCTCATGGTCATGCAAGATTTCCTTGAAGAAATCATCAAATTTGCGAAAGTTTTTACTCAATTACTGTGAAAACCAGTAAGAACATCGATCCACCCCATCCATGGGAAGAAGTCTCCAAAGTAGAATGCTCCTAAGAGCTTCTTGTTTTCTTTTATTATCAAGTGGAACCTGTTCGAGCCTCCAAAGATTCCCCTTCTTCAAAACTCTTTCCAAACGCTATCCTGCACAATATGTACATAGTGAGCAAGAGGAATAGGTGGCTCAGGTTCACCGTTTGAACTAGAAATGGCTTGAATTAGGCGCACAACTTCCTCTTCTCTCACATAGCCAAAGGACTCAACCCTCTTGCACTCAACAACTCAATGACATATATCTTGCGTAGGCCCCTCCAATAAGCACCATAGGGTGGAGTTGTAAAGTAGATGCTTTGCAGCAGTGAGAGAAGGACTACTCGCAAAGGTTGCATCGTATGTCTTCAGGAAGGCCTCCGCCATTAGTGCTGAGGAGACCATGAGTGTCGGGGCTCAGCCGAGCATGAAAGGGCCATGCTTCCTCAGAGAGGTCTCTGAGAGAGCGGTGTAAGAGTGGGGAAATTTGGTGAAGGTTCCCTATAAAAGGGAGTTTAGGTGGGCTTGGAGGCCTTTTCCTTGAGGGCCTGTCCTCTTGTAATTGAGAAGCAAGAAGGAAATTATTAGTACTAGGAGGAGGAAAAACCCTGTCCATGATATTGTTAAGGAAAAGATAAAGGCTATGGGCCCATAGTAAAACGAAAATATAAGAGTCTTGGCCATGGTTAATTCACTGGTAGACTAGCTACATGATTAAATACCTGCAAGCAATAACATAAGATGACAAGCACATAAATTAAAGATTCGGGTTTGGGTTAGTGGTCAGGACATAAGGGCCTGAGCACCACCATCCAAGGCCCCCATTAATGTAGAATATATAAGTATGTATATAAATCACTCAAGCCTGTCATTAAACTTGAGAAATATGGAGGAGCTAATCAGATTAGACTTGTCATATTGATTCATTTTAAGAAGGCGAATTTATCTAAAAGAGATTCATTTTAAGAAGGCGAATTTATATAAAAAAATCCCGGACCTAATTGGTCAGCGCTTAATGATTTCCAAAAAAAAAAAAAAAAAAAAAAAAGAATTTATCTAAGGAGGAGCTAATTAGATTAGACCTGTCATATTCATTCATTTAAGAAGGCGAATTTATTTAAGCACCCATGATAGAGCTATTTAACAACTTACCCATATTTTTTTATTTAATTTTAAGATACCCATAAAAAAGACAAGATCATGATTTGGAATGATTGCAAAAGCATAAAATATTAAATAGTGCAAATCTTATCAGTCAGGTATTTCACAATGTACCAATATTAATGAAGTATTTCATGTGTATTGGGCTGCGGTAAGATTGTCATTTATGTGATACGATATGTCGAGAAATATTCATCGCATTGGGGCAATTGCATGTTTTGTTTTTACGATGGTCAAGAACTAATCCGATATTTTCCAAAAGATAATAATATTTCCCAAAAAATAAAAGTACTATTTTTTCCAAGTGATTGAAATTAAAAGGGATTGTCTTTTTCACTTGAATCAGTTTTTGGCCCAAGTGATTACTGCCACGGTTTAAGTTTAATCAATTAACAATGAACAAATAATAAATAAATAAATAGATAAAACAATACATCTATTCCACGAACCCAATTGTACTTATTAACTAAAAAATAAAAATAATAATGAATATGCAAATCTATTTTGTGAGAGTTAATTCTTTATGATTGAATACAAACCAAGGTTTTTAAAAAGAGCGATCCGGATTATAATAGCTTGATCCGGATCTCTAATTAGTGGTTATGCTTGGTTCCCAACAAATATCAAGAACTAGCTGGTTCTCACCATGAATCGTTTGGTCCTGGCCGGTTCTCTGATAGAGCCAGTTCTTTGATAGAACAACTGGCCAGTTCTATCAGAGAACCGACTAGAATCGACTTCACCTATTATTTTTTAATATTTTTCAATTATTTTGTTCTTTATTTTTATTGGCCTATTCACTTTGCCAGATCACCAATATGGATTGCTGATCCGCCATTGGTTGATCTGGGTCACCTATCTGTTTTTTTTTAATCCTTAGCGTCAATGAAAAGCTAAGGAGTTCTTACCATTTTTTTAAACCTTGTTCTCACCATGGTGTGATGCCAAAAGTCTTCCCTCGGCCTTACTATTATTCCATTTTGACTTGACCACTTTCTTAGTTGCACTCCCACCCAACCGAATCATACACAACCGTGGGGAGAAATACTAAAATAGCGATATCAAGTCTCCACTTCTTAATATTGTGAGAAACTGTATTTCTGTATATTTGTGCCTTAAGCCCCCATGAAAGATGTATTTTAGATCTTATCGAATATGTGAACAAGAGCCCTAATTTTTAGGGTTACAAAGCTGTGTACTACTAAAGAATGTAACATATGCAATGAACCACCTTCTTAATATGGGTACACACAAAAGGAAGAAAATGATATATGCAATGAACCACCTTCCTAATATGGGTACACGAAAAAGGAAGGAAGTAATATATGCAATAAACCACCTTTTTAATTTGGGTACACATAAAAGGAAGAAAAATATTGTATAAAGAAATAGGTGCAGGTTTTCTATAATTTCCACACTCCCCTCAAACTCAAGATGCATTAAAAGAGAGCAACTTGAGCTTGGACAACTGAAGGCAGACCATAAAAACAAAGCAGAAACAAAAGAAGCTTGAGCAACTACAAATTAACGATCCTCAGAATCTGACACCTCGATCATAACAGTTTCGCATAACAGTAAATCAACATGCCTCAAATACAGTTGTACCTTAGAGTTGGAGTTGAGAACAATTAGATCTAAAATAGACGAGAGAGTCAAAACACGACTCAGTAGAGAGACAGATTAGAAAGTCGAAACACGACTCGGTGGCTGTTTTGTAGATGGTGCAGATTGGCCCTTTTCAGAAGCCATTTTCAAAGGTGGATTTAGAGGCGGGGTTCAGATCCGACACACCAAGGGTCCAGCATCAGAGGCGAGCACGACAACAATGGCTTACCATAAAAGACATACGAGAGAGATTGAGGCTCGCCTTTGGATGCGAAGAAGAAAAGGATGCAAGGCTTCACATATCAGAGGTAAGCAAACCAAAATCAGTAGAATAGAACCAGGGTGCATACACAGAAGACGTTATCAGATCAGAGGGCATCATAGATCAAAGAGCGCTAGAAACAGAGGCTCAATGCTTGAGAGACAATACCAAATCGTGACTCAACTCTGATACCATGTGAGAAACTGTATTTTTGTATATTTGGGCCTTAAGCCCTCATGGAAGATGTATTTCAGATCTTATCGAAGAAGTGAACAAGTGCCCCAATTTATAGGGTTACAAAATTGTGTACTACTAAAGAAGTTAACATATGCAATGAAGTACCTTCCTAATATGGGTATACATAAGAAGAAGAAAGTAATATATATGCAATAAGCTACCTTCCTAATATGGGTAGACATAAAAGGAAGAAAAATATTGTACCAAAAACTAAGTCTAGGTTTTCTGTAATTTTCACTCGTTTGACAAAGGTCTTTCTTTGTCTTTTGTGCGGTGTGAAATTTTTAGGGTTTAATATCGTTTTCTGCTGGTTTAGAGTGGGAATTAGAGGGAGGGCATACACAGAAGATGTTTCTAGGCTGGTGTGAAATTTTCAGGGTTTAAGATCGTTTTTTGCTTGTTTTAAGTAGGGTTTCTAGGCTTGAGGGTTCTCTAATTAGGTTTTATATAATTGGACCTTTGATAATAATTTAGGGGTATTTGTTTCTGACTTTTGCTGATATTGGGAATGCTTCTACTGCAGATTCAGAGGCAGGTGTCCATTAAAATGAATTGGGCAATAATTCTCTCATTTCATGCCAAGAACTGCCTTATTTACTTGCATTTGACTTCTGTTTTCCAAGATCCCATTTGGATTGACATATACCTAAAAACCCATCTCATATGTGTTTCATTTTTCTTTTATTTGAACGCTCATCAATAGAAAACCATTGGTCTGAAAGTTTCCATGATTCTACTCTCCCTTTAAACTTTTGATCACTGGCGTAAGTTTTTCCTTGAATCTGCTCTCGTTCTCAAGTTTTAAGTATCTGGAATCACACCCACAAATTATTGTTTTCGTGGACAAAAGTGCTTAATTGTATTGGTCTTTGGGAGCCTTGTTGTGGGTGGTTATCATTGCAACTACTCTCTCAAAGCAGTTGGTGGTGCATTGGGTGTGGTGTGTTGAAGGTTGGAAATAAGCGTGGTGACATGGTGCATGAGAGAGTTCAATTCCCTGTTGGTTTCTTTTTTGGAGCAGTTCAGCCACTGGAAGTTGGGCATAAGACTTTTTTTCTTGGTGGAAAAAGCTTGCATTTCTAGCACGGGGGCTTTTGTGTCATGTTTCAGTGCTTCCCATTTCCACCACCAGGATATGAAATGAAGTCTAGGGGCGATGATGTTGAGTTATTGATGAAGGTGAAGCACAAAGAGAAAAGTAATAAGAAAGAGAAGAGGGACAAAGAAAAGAGAGACGACAAGGAGAGAAAAGATAAAGACAAAAACAAGGAGAAGCATAGATATAAGAAAAAGGCAAAGCACAAAGATTAGAAATAGGACAAGGACCGAGAGAAGGATAAAACGAAGACAACTGATGAAAAGACAAGTGATGAAGGTCACTTATTTTGTGTTGGAGAGATTAGTAGGGAGAAAGATAAGCAGGCACTTGAGAGCAAGAACTCAAGTTTGAGCAGAAGTTCATTTGAAGGACCAGTGCTGAGGCAAGGGATGCCAAGAACCGGATCCCTGAGAAATTCAATGGAACTACACTTCAATGAGGAATTCAAGATATAGGAAGAGTGCCATCAGATGTTGAAAAGAAATTTGACGGGAAAGAGAAAACTTGTGATAAGAAGAATGATGATAGGGAAAGATAGGGATCGAGATGAGAAGAGGAGAAAGGATGCGGCCAAGGCTAAAGAGAAGGAAAATATTGTACCAAAAAATAAGTGTAGTATTTTTATAATTTTCACAAATATAACCTTAGGCACTATAAAGGCATCAGGGTTACATGATGGACGAGAGAGAAAAGCGAGGCGTATGTGCAAGCAATTGTAGGCATGGGTACTATTAGATACCTAACATATAAATAGCTTCAAGAAAACACTGCTATTTGGCAATGAAGGACAAACTAGTTCACTATTAATGAAAGAAAGACTAATACGATCGTGTCGGGGAATATTTTTTTTTTCTTTTTCTTCTTTTTACTGCTTTTCTTTTCTTTTGGCAAAGATCACTTACAAGTTACCTTATTACAATAACTCTTGCTTCAAAGAAAATAAAACTAACAAATCCATGATCTTAAAAACCTTGATGTCATTAAACCAATTTTCTTTAAACAAAGAAAATATCCACAATTCTT